TGATGCTCATACCGACCCGTCCGGTGTAGTAATCCGGCCTAGCGATCATGTGTGTTGCCACTCTTTTTGATTTTGGGATCCCCAGTCGTATTGCCAGCTCGGTGCAGAGTGCGTCGTGGAGACCTTGGCGGAGCTCGTCCGTTGACGGACACTCGTGGTACAGGTGGTGTTTGGTATCAGATGGACCGGGTGCCCTGCACAGGGGGCAGGAGGTGCTCATTTTCTCAGGATTCCCGTCTATTGTTATTTCAATTGAGGCCATCGGCGGTGTGGTAGTGTGGTCCTGGGCCCATTCCTCTGCCCACTCTGCGTTGTGGCGGTCTGACCCGAGGACTAATCTGGCCATGTGTTTGGTGTACTTTTCCGGGTACCTTCGGCCCCTGCCGCTAGGTAGGCGCAGTGCCACCGTGCTCTCTTTTGACCATATGGCTTCTACATTGGCCATCCGTCCTGTACCCGGTGCCTATTTGACGGGGCCTCTCTGCTCCAGTCGGTTCCTTGTGACCCTATCTATTACGGCGTATCGTGCCACTCGCTGGTCGGATGTGATGATGTCACCGGTCGCTGTGGCCGCGATTGCCCATTTGTGGGCTGTGAGTGTGTTTGGGGTGAGCTGTACTGTGGCGGCTTGCCGGTGGACTGCCACTGCCTTTGACCCCCAGTCGCTCAGTGCGTTTTGTACGAGTTTTGTGATGTCCCTGGGTTGTTTGTGTGGAGGCAGCTCATCCTGTGGTCTGTGCTGCCGGTCCGCTTTGGGGATGAAGAGCCGTGTGAGTTTCCTGAGCGCGTCAGCTGTCACCACTCTGGCTTGTGAGGCGGCATCGTACCGCACAGCCCCACGGTTGCTCAGGATTTTGGCGACGTCATCATCCGATTCGGTGTGAGCCTTAGTGTAGGTCCCGATTCTGATGCGTTCCGCTGCCTCGTCCCGTTGTTTGAGGGTTAGTAGGCGGTAGAAGTGAGGGTTTGCGTCGTAGCTTAAGGGGTCCCGTAGCCCGTGTGGAGGGGGGCGGGGGTCACGGTTCCGTTCGTGCCAGGCGAGGCGTTTAACGCCTGTGTCGTGGTCCCATCCTATGTGTAAGAAAGGTTCGTGGGCCAGGGCCTGTAGGACAAGTGTGTGTTTGTGGGGGGCTACGACGACAATGATGCTTCTTGTGGCCGATGCAGCGCGGGTGTTCGCAGCGTCGTGCCTTGATAATTGTGTGGGTGGGTGGCGTGGGTGGGTGCGCTGTACATGGGCATGTGTGTGTGTTGGTGTGCGTGCGTGTGTGTGTGTTTGGAAGGGGGGGAGGTAGGGGAGGCTGTAGTCTCGGCTACGTTTCTCCCCAATGTCTCGACTGTGTGTTGGCATGATGCAGTGCTTGATCGATAATCGCCTGTTGCACACTGCTTCCTAGGCAGCTTGTAAACATAGTTTAACTGGATCCCAATTTGTTACTACTAGTTCGTCGGATAATTATGAGAGTTCATACTAATTCATTGAACGCCAAATTAACTAGTTCGTTCCGCGCTTCGCCCAATTTATCGCCTTTTCGCACTCGACGACTATTTTGATGGGGGGGTTGAATAGAATACCGCCGATCGTATTTCGAGACGGTCTCAGCTCGAGACTGTCTCGAAATCACGGCCCTCGAGACCGTCTTGGCGACGCGCAGGCCTGAGACTGTTCTCGGGGAGCCCGCAAGCGCTTGAGACTACTCGCACGCGCGATGTTCGAGCGGCTCAGCTCGCGGTTGAATACTGGCTATCCCCATGCCGTGGCGTCCACGGCAATGCTGTGTGGTGACCATGAGTCTCCGCCACGCGGCTCGTCGGCAACAGCGTGCCAAATATACCCCCTATATAATAGTATATTTAGACTATTAAATAGGGTCAGGGGTGTGACTGTATAGGCCTACTGGCTAATCCTGAGCTCCTGATCCCTATCAATATCAGCAAAGCTTTCTTCGATCGCGAAGAACAGTCTTTAGTTACTGACATAGGTATGTATTCACGAAACAAATGGGGTTACGGTAACTAGTAGTTACACCCATGCATCGTAAGATTTGTTTACTGAAAGGAATGATCTGGTGCCTATATTGCCTTCCCGATAGGCAGGAATGAGCCGTAGTCGTGCCCGGCTGTGCCCGGACCCGCGATCGGCTCTCCGCGCCCCCGCCGCTGCGCATTGTTAGGAACCGCGGCCTGGTGGGGCCACGTGCCGCTCGCTGAGGCTCGGGGTGCGGTGCCAAAGGTGCGCGGGATCGTCGCAATTCGTGCGTTGCGGTGCTGCGGACCTTCGCGGTAGCCGATCGCGAGGCCGAGGCCGAGGCCCTTGGGGGGCGGCGGCTGATGGCCCATGTTAGCAATGTTATTATCGGCGGCGTGGCGCAGGCGCGCGGCGCCGGGCTGTTCGGAGAGGCGAATCCAGTTGCCGCTCGTCGGGAGCTCGTGCGCCGAGTCGAGCTTCGGCGCGGGCGACCGTTGGCCCTGGGTGCGGGCGCGCGCCACCTGATTGGGGGGGGGGGAAAGTGAGTGAGGCGT